GATGGATGGATAAAGTATTGATTTCCACAACCGGGTCTTTAGATGCAAGTTGGATATTTATTTAAGCAGAGCCAAAGCATGTGCTAAAGAAGATATTAAAAACGTCTTGACACTGCACTTTTCTCTCCACTACATAATACGGATTGGCATAGCTAGACAAACATATCTTTTTAGATGATAAAACCCAGAATGCTTATGTACTTATTTATGCTAGGTGTATTTCCCTAAATGTATCACCACTTATCTCAGAGCAGTGAAAGCAAAGCCAGTGGCAACTTGTCTAGCATACTAGTTTCCCATCACAGACCAAACACTCACATTGATGCAAACAGCCAGAAAAGGCTGCTGAGAGCTTTTGTTAGTGGAACAAACATCCACATGAAATGTGCTCTATCCTACAAATTCTGGTGGAATAAAGAGGAGAGTCGAGCACACTGCTAGAGGCACCAGCCAACTGAGACCACAAGATGGTAGTAATTCAAGAATACGGTAAACGAGCAGCGAGAGAAGCTACTGGACAATATGTCGTTTGAGATGGAATGAGAGAGATGACTGTCACTTTGGATTTAACCGATATCTGTTTTTAGATCTCACTGAACTAGCACTGCTTGCCATTAAACCCTGATGTGAAAAAAAGTCAACATAAAACGTAAAGATGACTTCAATTTTGCTGTTTTCACAACATATGTAAATATATGTAATGTAAAAGTAAATGAATGCAAAAACAATAGCTAGTCACACATAAACACACACACAGATAGACTGGTGTCTCTATAAGCCATGTGCTGCATTTCAGCACAGACCTCCAAACATACACACATTCATGCAGTACTAAGGAAGTCCACACTATAGTTATGCACCACCACTTCCCACTGGTTACACAAGCAAATATTCAGGCCACTAAGCCTGGAGCATGGTGAGAAATGGTGTTAATATAAGGACAGTGCTGGCAGGATTGGGAAGAAATACACTCAAGGTTAGACATAGAAATACCAACCTTATACCAAAACTTTGCTACCTTTATTGTCAAAGATGTATTACAATGACTTACATTTTTGAAAAATGTAATGAAATGTTTTTGTTAAACCCGTTAAACAAAAGGTGGAAGTCTGCTCTCTATTGATTGTTTTACTTTTGCAAAAGAACATTGGACGAGGTGTTTAGGTATACAAAGCCCAGGTATTGGTGTGTGTTTGGATGAATGAGGATTGTAGTTAAAAGCACTTTGACTGCTCAGAGTAGAAAAACCATATATAAATATTAACTGAAACATAACAGATAATGTACACACTTGATATTTTTGAATTGGCATATTCCAGGTGACAAGGTTCTGAAAGACTCAGGCATCCTCTCATTCTCCAAGATTGTGTTAAACAATCTGGTCAAAAAGTCCACTGCCTCTCTCCTAGACATCTCCATAACTCCACAGGTATGTCATCTGGACCGACTACCTTTCCACACTTCCTGATTCACTCCATTCATTCTCCTCTCCATCTCGTTTTACTCATTCATCATCTCCTCAAAGGATGTGTTCTGTCTTCTCAACTCACTCTTGTCATTTTTTCACTATCTAGTGTCTTTAGTAGGGATGG